TTTTAGTATACTAAAAACTAACTTTTTCAAATATTCTAAATCAATATTCAACCATTCTTTCTGCAATACTGAGATTAGTTTTTCTGTAGATTTTGGTTTTGGATTATGCTTATGAATTTCCTTTTCAAATAATCTCATATATATTCAATTAGGTTTAAATCTAGGCTTTAAGCTGGGCATGAAAAAAAACTTACTAATTTTTTATATTTTCAGTCTATTACAATTCTTGCTTTATGTATAGAAGCATTATCATCCTGAAAAAAATAAATATCTTCATTGCCAAGAGTCTTATAAAAGGATAAAAAATGTTCTTTAGAATTTCTAAATATTTTTTTGCATTAATATTCTCTCTATTAATTATTAATAGATTAAATTTATCATTAATAAAATAATCCTAAACTATTACATTAGGACTTTCTTATTTAACTGTAAGTAATAGATAATTAATATTATATTTTTTTATGTAGTTTTATTAAATCTAATGGTGAAAATTATTTTAAAATAAAGATATCAAAATTCATCATTTCAAACTATATTTTTCTAATTCTTTTTCCAACTTTTCTTTCTTTACACCAATTAAGACGTTTGAGATAATTTGTTTATAAAACTAAAGATTTTTTAACTTCAATATATCTATAATATTCTAATTCATAAAGGTTATAATATATGGTAGAAGAACTTGAAGTTTTAAGTTCCAATTCATTAAATTTTTTAAGTTAGTTTATTAACAGATTGCTGCTTATTATTTTTAAGTAATTAAATAAGATGTCATTTATTATAATCATTAAAAATAGATGGTTTTTTAGACTCAAGAGTAGGAGATACTAATTCATCTTTTCTCACTTGTTAATTATATTATTTATTATTATTCTTGATACATTTAAAATTCTAAAAATGTTTATAGAATTATGATTGCCTTTATAAAGTCCAATAATTTCACTGTGTTTAAAAATGGAAAGTGCTTTTTTTTTGTATATTTTTTTAAAAAAGCAACTTGAAAAAAATTTTTTAAAATCTTTAAAAAAAAAACACCATAATTTTATTAAAAAAAAGTTTGTCAAATTTAATAATTTCTATACTAATCTATTACTTTTATAAGTCAAAATACTTAGATAAAAATTATTTAATGATCAGCATATGATAGATACTTTTGATAATTTACTATAGCTAGAATACATAGCTAGAATAGCAAATCTCTAGAATATCAAAAATGTATATTACTGCTTGTAGGTATTATTCAATTTAAAAATAATATTTTTAATTAAGATTTTAGATACTGTATATAATAGTATATAATACTCTATTTTTAGATAAAATTACCTATTAACTATTTTAGAATATAGAGTATTATTATAAAGATAATAATTAATTAATACACCTTATACTTAAAAATTAAATGAAAATTTTTATATGAAAAAATTCTACATAAAAGAAAATATAAGTTTATATTATTTTACTCAATAATAAACATTGAATTTTATATAAATGTATTCAATAGATACCTTTTAAAAATTGAAGACTTATTAGAAGATGAATGGTATTTTTAATAAGATAATGATCTAAAATATATTAGCAAATATGTCAAAAAATTTCTTTAGAAAAATTTTCCTAAAATTATTAATTGGTCTTCTAACAGTTCAAATCTAAATTTTATAGAAATCCTTTAGAGTATTGTTAAAAGAAATATAAAGAAGAAAATGCCAAAAAATATTGATGATTTTTGTCAATTTATAATTAAAGAATAAATGATATTTTAGAATTAATTCTAATTATATTAGTAAGATCAATGAAATACTAATGTAAATTTGTTATAGAAAATAATAATAAATGAATTTTATTTTAAAAAATATTAATAAAATAAATTAGTTTTTACTTCAAAATATTTAAATTTTATGTAATTTATATTATTAGTTTTTACATAATATGCATTTAAAAAATTTCAGATTTTTTATTTCATATTATATATATAATATAATTATTTATTATTATAATTTTAATTATTGTTACTTTAAATATTTAATTATTTACTAATATTTATTTTTTTGTATTATAATATAACTCTAAAAGAAATTTATATATAAAAATACATATGAAAATAATATATTTTTAATATTCATAAATAAAGTATAATTTATGCGTAATTTTAAATAAGAAAAATAGAATTACAAATATATATAAAAATATATATTACATATTATAACTAAATATATGTAATGTGGTTTGCAAATGTGATATAATACTAAATATTAAAAATATTAAATAAAAAAAAGCAATAAGTTTTACCTTTAATTTTGTAATTTCTGCAATCATTTAATAATATCTGTAATGATTGGTAACATTAAAGTTAGGTGTTTTTGTAATACAATTAACAATCTTTAAGATTAAATTTAGTGATTAAAATCAGTATATCGGTAGATATGTTTAACTATTATTGATAGTATTGTAACTATAAGTATGAAGTAGTATTTTATAATATGCTTCTAATAGTATATATTTTATAAGTAAAATTGAATATCAAATTAATCTTATAAAATCTGTAGTTAAAGATAATCCTGAATTATTTTAAAGCAATATAAAAAGAGTAATCAAAATAATTGTAAAGTATTGAAAGATCAGATTAGTGTAAATAGTTTCTTAGCTAGCAAAAAAGCTAGTATTAAAAAAATTTATTAAAATATAATATATATTACAAATGTAGTTTTAAACTATGTATTTATTTTTCACATATAATAATAAAATATTTTCTTGGCAAAAGTAATCAGCATTATAATTTGTAATACATATGTAATTTTTATTTTGAATACTCATATGCCAGTGTATTAATTATAGATTATATCATTAGAGATTAAATTATTAAAACAGTAAATTAGCAAGCTTAAAGATAAAAATGCTAAGCTTGAAGTTAAAAAAGCTAAGATTGAGGCTAGAAATATTAAACTTCTAAAGTAGATTATAGAAAAAGATATCAAGCATGTTACTAAAAATACTGAACTTAAGTTTTAGTTCATAATCTTAAAGTAGAGTATTAGTGAAGTAACTAGACAATTATAGAATAAAAAAGAGTATAATTTGCTTAAGCAAATATTTAATATCAGCTATTGATGTATTCAGTTTGCTTCAATAAATAGACCAGCAAAATAGTATTAATACTAAGGTAATTGAGAATAAGAAAATAAATAATTTCTATCTTGAAGAACTTGCTACTGTATATTACTCTATTATGACTCAATTTGAGTGATATAAGCCTAATTATAAGATCAATAATATAGTACTAGAAGTACTTACTATCTTTAAATAATTAAAGAAAAATAAGATAGATTCTTTCTTAAATGAGATAAATAAAAAAAAGGTTAACAATAAAATTAAAAAAGAAAGTAGAAAAAGAAACTTCAAAATAATTAATTCTCAAAAAAACTGAATTCAGAGATATTTATAATTTCTTTGGATTTTATTACATTCTTGAATGAAAAAAATAGATAAGTTTATTTTCTTATAGTAAATAAGCAAGTGTCTATTAATCAAAAAATCCCTTATAATCAAAAAATAAAATAAGATTTGAAAAACAAATTATTTGTTTATATAAAAAGTAAAAGATCTACTTTACAGAGCAAAGATAAAGTATTTGATATACTATAAAATATATGAGAACTGAATCAGATATGTTAAGTTTATAAGTAATATTGATGATCAATTAGTAAGAACATTAGTATATAACAAGATTGATGTTTTTCTTTTAATATTACTAATGTAAACTTACGTCAGAAATTTTTTAAATTTAAGAAAATCTACATACTATTTATGAAAGTAAAAATAGATAGAATCTGAGTAATTACTTATAATATAAATGTAATTTTAAGCTTAAAAAATAATCAGATCTAGAATATTATAATAATTTTTAAAAAAGGCTGACAATACAGATGAGGTTAGTATTACAAATTATAATACATACATAACTGATTTTTTTTGAAGTAAGTGTCTCTCAACTACATCTATTTCTATTATTCATATCTTTAATTCTTCAGGTAAATCTCAAATTAAAGAGGGTAAAGTATAATATGATAAAGGGGAATATTATTATAGAGATGATGACACATATAATGAAAAATGCTATTATAAAGGATATTATTATCATAATATAAGATATAAGAGAAAGTTTTATCAATGATGAGTCTGATAATCTTTCTAGTATATGTTTAGAAAATAACAGATAATATGATATAATCATATGAGATTGATTATCTGAAATACATAATTGTATAATTCTTATTCATTAGTTCATATAAATAATATTTGCAAAATATACTATATATAGTAATATATTACTAATATTTACAGTTATTATTTTTAGAAGATCTATTAATAATCCTAGCTAAGAGAATTATTTTTGTATTATTTTCTATTATATACTTTGAGAAAGTTCTGGTATATTTTATTTCACTTATTATAGTTTTAAATTACTAATAAAAAATATATTTCTCACAGATTGTGAGGTAGAGCATCATTAAAAAGAATTAAAAATGAAAATTAAGTGATTAAAATCTATGATTTACAAAACTATAGATAAATAATAAATTTTTATTATCTTATTCTTATTAGCATAATTAATTACATGTATAGCTAATTATATATTAATCATTTTTGAATAGAAATTAGTAATATATTTTATCTTATAATGAACTTTTTTATAATTATAATAGCATCCATTCTATAAAATGAACTTCTTATTTAGGCTGAAAAATTTAAACAAAGATGCATGATTTTTTACCACATACTTTGCATCTATTAAAGCTAAAAGATATACATAATAATGTGACTCAGATCTCATAAATAGGATAAGCTACAGATCAAATATTAAGAAGATGGTAAATTTTGAGATATAATATTATTCTATTAGTATTAGATTATAAAATGTAATGCAAATACTCCTTTTTGTTACTGTATTAATAAAGCATAGTTGACAGAGAAATCATTTTTTCATTATTTTTATTTCATTTGAGCTAATGAAGCTTTCTCTCAATATGATAAGAAATGCAAATATTAGTTTCAAATATTTCAATTTTAGAATCAAACAAGCACAAATACTTACTAAACCTGATGGTATAGCTATTAAGTTTGACAGTATACAAGAGGTTTGCTTGCCAATAACTATATCATTTTATTCCATTCTTACCACTCTTTTCTAATAGAATATCAAGATCTCTTGTCAAAAATTAATCATGTATCACCTTCAAAGGACTGGAACTGTCTTCAAGTAGGTTCTTTTATTTTTACTTATTTAGACTGACAATTTTTTACTTTGTAAAAATCATATATGCTAGTATCATGAGTTTTTCGTTGAAACTTGTTTGGGTTTATTTTGGCTCAATAGAGAGCATATAATAGAATATTATAGAAATGTATGACAGATTTTAATTCAAATAAAACTATTGTCAATTATTATATGAAGACACTATTGAAAAACTCTGTGGGTTCTTTTTGCATTTCTGGATTACGTTAAGAAAATTACTTCGTGGGTTCGTTATACACTCCCTACCCAAAAGTATTAGACCACATAAAAATTTTTATAAAATATCAAATTTTTTTTTATCTACAGTT